GGCGTAGCACCACTGCGTGGCTGACTGAAAGGTCTGTGCGTGGTTCGAATCCATCAGATGCTCTGAGGGAGAAAGATGGACAGTGTCTTCCCACCAAGACGTACAGCCGTGGTCCTGACGGAGGAGGCTTTGCTCAGTTCGAGTTGACCTGGTGGCAGTGGGCTTGGTTGCTAGTTTAGGTGCTGGGTTGCAGGAGCCCTGATTGTACAATGGTTAAAGCCTTAAGCTGTTTGTTAACCAAAAGGTTGCCAGTTTGAACCCACCAGTCACTCTTTCTGTACGTCCTTGGAAACCCTATTGAGGGAGGCCCACTTTGCTCTCCGAGGTCAACACATATGAGTTGGAAGTGATTTGCCAGCAGTGGGGTTTTGGGGTATTGGGTTGAGAAGGAAAACACAGTGCTTTTTTTCTGGTTTCTGGTGTGGTTTTTCTTTTTTTAATCTGTGTTCAAAAGCCTCTTTGTTAAAGTAATTTGGCCGCAGGAAATAACCTACTGCTATTAATTTCAAAGCTACTGTCACAAAGATACCTTTCGTTGATACATTGCATCTCAAATGTTCCTCATTTTGAATCACTTTCGTTTTCAGTTCCACTAATTAGGGCCTGGAGGGGCAAACTGCGTGTTTGTGTGTGTGTCTAGCGTTTGTCCACATGAAAATATCCATCTAGAACAGGGCTTCTCAACCTTTGCCCTAATTGGGTCAGAGTACACACTTGGGGAGCCCTTGTGGCCCAGCAGTCAAAGCACTCTGCTATCAGCCACAGGCCACTGGTGATCCCCACACGACCCCTTGATGTTCCCAGTGTCGAGGAGCTTCCCAGCGCAGGGTCCCAGTTCCTAAACGACACACTCCATTCCTGGTGGTTCTCTCTGGATGATACCGCGTGCCCGGATTTCTGTTGCTTCTCCTCTGCTCCGTCCTAAGACAAACCCACAAGTTCCTCCTTGGGAGGGAGACAAAGTAATTGGCTTCCATCAGTATTTACAGTCTGAGCAACTCTCTTCTGTCTTGGAGAAGACGCTATGAGTCGGCACAGGCCCAATGACAGTGAGTCTAGTTTAATACATTGGGGGGTGTGTGTGTGTGTGTGCGCGTTGTCCATGGCGGGATGTTCAGCATTCCCCTGATCTCTCCCTCATAGATGCCAATAGTATCTTCAATTGTTGTTGTTGTTATGTGCCGTCGAGTCGCCTGTGACTCATAGTGACCTTCTGTATAACAGCCCTAAACCCTGCTCTATCCTGTGCCAATCGCACTGTCTCTGACACACTCACACAGATTTTCACAGTCACTGATCAATCCACCTCACAGAGAGTCTTCCTCTCCTGTCCTGTCCCTCCACCATCCCAAGCATGACATTTTTCTCCAAGGACTGGTTCCTTGCAACATGTCCAAAGTATGTCAGATGAAGCTTCAGAATCCTTGTCTCCAAGGAGCAGCCTGGTTTAACCTTCTCTAGGACAAACCTGTTCATTCTCTTAGCAGTCCATGGTATATTCAATACTCTTCTCCAACACCACAGCTCAAAGGCATCTTTTCTATCCTCCCTAGTCATTGTCAAGCTCTCTGACACATAGCAAGTGATTGCAAAGACCATGCCTGTATCAGGTGCACCTTAGTCTCCAGAGTGACACCATTGCTCTTCATTATTTTGGAGAGGTCCCTAATAGCAGACTTTCAATTGTGGCAATCAATAAAATCTCCAGAAGCACTGATCTTGATGTCCTACACCCAAAGTCCAGTGCACCATCCAGGTTTATAGGCTTGTTCTGATACCCAGCCCAGGCCTGCCTGGCTTCCGCATCATCTGAAGTCACCACCAGTTACAGAATTAGGATCAGATCCCAAGCTCGGGGTCAGGAGACCTGGTAGATGTGCCTGCCTCTCTGCCAAGGACTCCCAGAATCGCTTAGGGACAAGTTCCCTTATTTCTGGCAACTGGAGAGAATGACCTTGGCCCCAGCCACACATCCCTATGATGCTGGCTGTTTTCAGGTACCCACGAGGCGATCTTATTTGAACAACAAATCAGAAGCTTGTTCTGTCCTTCATCACTGTCACGATCTCAGTCATGCTCGGGTCCGCTGTGGCTGTTACGGTGTCCATCCAGCTCATCGAGAGTCTTCCTCTCGTCCATGGACCCCTCCTCCTTTCCCAGCTTGACATCCACTTCTAAGGACTGGCCATCCCCTCCTGACAGCATGTGAGACCAAGTGTCACTGTCCTTAGCTCTCAGGTGGAGGAGGCATGGTTTTAATTGATGGGAGAATTACAAGCCCTCTTCAAAGGGGAATGAATGATGAGGATTAAATGATGGTGGGGTGTTGGCCTCAAGATCTCTTCTCTCTCTGGGCACAAGGGAAGTGTGGGGGAGAAGGAAGCTCTCTAGCCAGCTAGGCCCATTCCTTCCCATTTTTCCACTGGGGACTAAGGATAAATCTCAAATTAAAGCCAAGGCCTTTGTGTCCCACCCCATACATATGCATTCCATTCTAAGTCCTACAGCCCGCGCAGGGGGCTGGCCACTAGGATTCCGCTAAAGGTTTAGCTTTCTGGGTGGAGGGAAAGGGGTTGGTGAATTAGTTTCTTGCCTTTTACCAATAAATTTGTTTTGCTTTGTTTTTTATTTAGACAGATGACAGGGCAGGGTCCAGATGTATTGTTCACAGTTTCTATAAGTAGAGGTCAACTCCATGGCATCTAACCACCACCACCACCACCACCACCACCACCAATCTCTACTCTGCCTTCTGTTCTGTTCCAGCGGAGTTTATCTTGGTTGCGGGTTTAATTTCCTCTTGATCACCTTGTAATCAGGTGGGCCAAGATCTGGGTGGGCAGCCACCTTGATTTGCTGGGGTTAGAGAAATCAGCCCCCCACATCAGTTCCTTCACTCAGGAGGAGGAACCGTAGGTTCCCATTTGCAAGGAGCTCCTCCAGCACAGTGCACCTGGTGTTGGGTTGCTAAAGGAAAGGTCGACTGTTCAAAACCCCCAGTCGCTCTGCAGGAGACGGTACAGCAGTCTGTTCCTTCGGTAATGTGATGGAGTCGGAATTGACTTGATGGCAATGGGTTTGGTTTGTGGTTTTGGTGGCTCAGTGGTCAAAATGCTCACTCCGTTGGTAACTGAAAAGTTGGTGGTTTCAAACCTTCCAGTCAATCCTCAGGGAGAGAGGGATGTGGCAGTCTGCGACAATCGAGAGGAGATTGTGCAATTTTCCTCTAAGGTGCGGCACTTGGTGGATTCGAACCACTGACTTGGTGAGCAAAGCAACACAGAAACCAACGCGCCATCACAGATCCTTGAAAACATAGCAGTATCTCTCTCTCTCTCTCTCTCCCTCTCTCTCTCTGTCTCACACACACACACACACACACACAAACCAAAAACCCAAACAAACCCGAGGCACAAAAAAATTCAGTCAAGAAAGAGTTAAAGACTTGAATTTAAGAATCCTTAAGGGAAGGGGAGAGAGAATTTCCTTGGAGTGGAAAGAGTCATGGCCAGATGTGCTTTTAAACAAGGAGACCATGAAATATTATGCAAAATGGGTGACCCTGGAGGACATTATGCTGAGTGAAATATCTCAGTCTCAAAAGGACACATATTGCATAGGGCCACTTGTAAAACAGGACCGACATCAGGGTTGAGGGAAGACAGAAAAGGAGGGGAGGAATGATGTATATTGCATTGAAATAGATGAGGGAGAGAATTGTTTAAGAGGGACATATGAATGGGTACTCTTGTCATTACAGAAGTCCAGAGTGAAGGCTGCATAGTGGAGTGGACTTGGGGGGAAGGAACTGCATAACAATGAAAGAGTTTTTCTCTTTCTTTTCAAGGAGAAGAGTGAATTGGGGGGGGAGGGGGCGGTAGGGAGAAAAGGGCAACAATGAATGACTGGAAACCCCAAGTCTCTGTAAACTTTCATTAAAATGAGTTAAAAAAAACCACTCATCATCATCACCACCATCGGCACAATAGCCTGAGTGCCTTATGTGTTAGCCTGCTCACTGGAAGGTCGACAGTTTGAATCCACCAGCTGTTCTGCTGGTGTAGAAAGTCTCGGAGCATCAAGATCTTGATGCTTTGGAAACCGAATGGAGGCTCAGCTATGATTCAGAATTGAAGTTTATTTGCTGAGCTCTTCCTATGTTGTTCTTTATTCCTCTCCTTCACTTCGTCCTCGCCATAAACCCTCCGCTTGAAGTACGTGCAATCAATCACATTTTAAGGATGGGGATGGGAGTTAAGTTTTAAAGTGAGCACACGGGTAAAACTGTCATCAGAATTCCCTAACTCGAACGCATCATGCCATTCTGAAGGCACCCACCCCGGAGGCAGGGTCGCTGGGTGCTCCGGGCGATGGAAAACCACCTACCTGCTCGCTCCCAACACCCGGGTTTGACTTGAATTATCGCTGATATGACCGCACTTGATTGTGGGGAAACCGGCTGCAGAGCAGGGTCCTGGGCTAGGACCCAAAGGAGGACAAGCTGGACCCCATTCGACACCATCTCCCGCCTCCACTCCTTCGCCCACTTGGTCACTCACCTGCTTTGAGGCCTCCGGGTCTCTCAGCCCACGGTTTACCTGCGAGGTACCTGCGTTGCTAGGTTACCCGCCAATCTCAGGAGGCGGGACTCTGCGTTTGACTGACTCTCCTTTTTACCATTTAATTTCTCTTTCCGCCCACTTTGTCCCGCCTCCTGAGGATTGACCAATCATAAGTAAAGCCTCTCTGAATATTCACCAATTGGGTGAGACTAGACGCCTTCTGGGTGGTGCCAAAGTGAGTAAGGCGGGCAAAGTGGGAGGGGATAGGGGCGGAACTCCTTCGTCCCGCCCCTTCCCCAGGAGGCGGCCGGGAGATCTGCTCCGACATTGGATCAAGGCTGAAGAGGGACGTGAAATTACACCAATCATAAGCCAGCATAGACACGCTAGTAGCCAATCTATGGCCCCAGGGGCGAAGTGGGCGGGACGAGCAGTGTTGAGGGCACGGTAGGCGGTGGATGGGAGTGCTGGCGCAGCTGCCGTGGTGGCAGCGGCTGGAGTGGCGGCGACCGAAGTGGCGGCGGCGGCGGCGGCTGCAACAGCTCTGGACTCAGAGATCTTTGGCGGCGGCGGCGCCGGCGGGCTGTGCTGTGCTGTGCGGACCCCGGTGCATGGTCCGGATTGCTGGGGCGGTGCATGTAAGAATCCAGGGAGGGGGCGCGAGCACTTGGCCTGAGGGAGGGGGCAGAGGGCAGAGGTCAGAAGGCGCTGAGTAGGGGTTGTTGGCTGGCCGTCGGGGTGTGTGTGGGGTTCCAGGACGGACCCTGGGAGGTTGCAGGGAAATCATCAAGGGGCTCCTCTCCAGTCCAGGCCACCGCTTTGCACCCTTTTAATCTCCTCTGGCTCCTTTTGGGGTCCCATGCTTGGGGCCCCTGGCTGAGAGCACGTGGATCTGGAGCTGGCGCCTCTGTTGCTGTCCTCCTCCTCCATCATCTGTCCTCCCGGCGCCCTCGGGCAGCTCCACACCGAGGTCGTGCCCTGGTCAGGCTGCTCTGGGCGGCGGGGGACAGCTGCTGACCCCTTTCCCGGGGACCTCTCCCCAGGAGCGATCCTTCCTTATTACAGAGGAAGCAGTGAAGTCCAAGCAAGGCACTGGGTCTTGGACTCAGGAGTCCTGCCCTCCAGCTCTGCCTCTGCACTGTGTGACCTTGGATGGGTCCCATTCCCTCTCTGGGCCCAACTTTTCCCCCATCTCCAAAAGGATGACTTTGAATCCTAATGGGGGACCGGTTCTGGAACGAGGCTTAGGGCAATGGTTACAGGGGGGCAGGTCTCTGAGTTCCACCTGCCTGGGTTGAAATCGCGACTCTTTCAGTTCCCTGTTGTTTGCTTACAAGGGGGCAGGTTGAATTAATTGAGTTAAGCCTCGGTTCCTTCATCCATAAAGTGGGGCTGTTCACTAAAACAAGGTTTCTTAGCAAACACTGTTGCTACTTTGAGCCGATGATTCTATACTGTGGAGGGCTGTCTTGTGCAAGATAGTATGTTTAAAGATACCCATGTTTAGCAATATCCCTGGCTTCTACTCACTAGAGGCCAATAACAGTCCTCCTTCCCTCTGCCCCTTCCTCCCTCCCAACTGTTGTGACAATAAAAAATATCTGCAGATATTGTCCACTCCCTTCAGTGGGGGAACCACAAGCAAGCGAGTAGTGAGTGCTCTATTAAACAGTTAAACTCACAAGACTGGTAGCCATTATGATAATGATAATTTGGACAGCCTTTTCTTAATGAACAGGTTGATAAGAGTCCCCCACCTTCAACATCAACACAGGATAGAATTTAGGCAAATGTTGATCATTGTCGAAGCTGCTGAAGAGTGCCTTGTGAGGAAGTTCATTTACATACTGTCTCTAGTGTAAGTCTGAAAGTGTCTGGTAGAAAGTTAAGAACCAAACCAAATAAACCCCACTGAAGCTTCAAGACAGCCTAGTGATGGTGTCTCTTTTGGGCTGTTGCTTCTTCTTTCTTCTCACCATTGAGACCCAAAAGCAAAATAGATCCCCAGATTGGGAGGACACTCCAGAAACAACAAAGGTGGGGGGGAACCCAACCAAAAAACAACCACAGGAAGTTCGCAGGGCAGAGTTACAAGCTTGGAGCAAGCTAAAGTGTTTACTTTATCCTTCCTTGTTTTAAGAAGCTCCGCAAATTCCCTGCTGACTCAGGAGGGTCTGCTTGGCGTCATTTTGATGATTTTTGTGTGTGAAAGGAACAAAGGTGCCCAAAGGCGCTTTCAATGAATTTTTGCAGAGGCTGATCCCAGGTCACAGCGGGAGGAAGGAACCTGTTGCTGGTTTCAAGTGCAAAGGTCCACAGGCAGATCTGCTGAGTCCTTGCTTTTCTCTGGGCGGAAACAGAAGGAAGCCTCATGGCCTAGTGGTTAAATGCTTGGTCGCTAACATGAAGGTCAGCAGTTTGAATCCGCCAGCCACTCGGAGGGACAAAGATTACAGTATAGGAAACCCCATGACTGTCACCTGGAGTCACTTTGAGTTGAAACTGACTCAGCAGTTTCTAACAACAGATGACCTGACATGTTATAGTTGTGGAAGTGAGGTGCTCCCTGAACTTGGAGGCTGTCTCCTAGAGGAATTAAGGGGTGATGGCTGAGAGCAAAACTTTGGAGTCAGACTTTATCTGTGGGTTCCTGGGCAAGTTATCTAGCCCTTCTGTGCCTAACATTCCCCCCCCCCCCCCCGGCAAAAGGGTGACAGTCATCTGGCCTCAGGGCTACTATGAAGATTCAATCAGCTTTTCCTGTTGCTGTTGTGTACCCTTGGGTTGGAACCAAGGATCGCTGACCCTCCAGTGAGTTTTCAGAGGCTGTAAATAGCACGGGAGGAGATTACCCATCTTTTCCCTACAAGAGTAGCTGGGGGGCTTCAAACTGCCTGCTTTTGGGTTGGCAGCTCAACTTCTTACGACTCAGCCAGCAACGATCTCTCTGGTGTGTACCCAGACCCACTGCCTTCAAGTCGATTCCCCCTTACTGCGACCCTCTGTTGGGTTTCCGAGGCCATACATTGTCCTGGAAGCAGACTAACCCTTTTCCTGCCACGGGGCAGATGGTGGATTTGAACCACTGACCTTGTACATCGCAGCCCAGCATGTAACTTACTATCTTGCCAAGCCTATATGTGGCACATAAGAAGTAGAGAGTATTAACTCCTGTTACTGTAATGGCTGTTTTCCCCCTTGCCCCCTAAATCTTTCGGCATCACAGATCTCCACAAACAAATGTGTAGGGAGGGTTGTAGAAGACATTAGTCAAGAATCTCACTCGCCAATTTAAATTACTCTTTAAACGTTTCAGTGCGGACCCGCTTCATTTTATGGCACTCTGTGGATAATGGCATTTCTCACAGATTGAAGGCTGGGGCAGCCTTCCAAGGCTACAGCAAATCTCTTGGCGCCATGCTAGCAACGGCCTGTGCTCACTTGGTATTCCCGTGCCTCATCCGGTCATTCTCACAAATGTCTCAGACTTCTTTCCAATGCAGCTGCTCTCTTCATAGAGTGTTGTTGCGTGCTCTTGAATTAGAACCGACGCAAAGCTGGCCCTTCAGTGGGTTTTCAGAGGCAGTAAGTCCCCTGGGGAAAGATCGCCCGGCTTTCACCTGAGGAGCAGTCGGTGGATTCAAACCGAGTGCCTCTGGGTTGCCAGCACAACTCCTTACCCCTCAGTCACCGGAGCTCTCTCGCTTAGTAGAGCTGAACAAATAAATCCACTGCTGTCAGGTTGATTCTGATTCTGAGAGACACCCCATGCACACACATTGGGTTTCTGAAGCTGTAAATCTGTACAAGACAAGATTTCCCATCTTTCTCCGTCAGATTTGAACTGCCAACCTTTTGGTTAGCAGCCTGATGCGTTATTTACTGTGCCTCCAGGGCTCCTGATAGACTGTTAGGAACCACAGACTGTATTGCTTATTTTATTGTTCTTTTTGTCTTACTGTCGTGGTATGGAATTGAACTTGAAATGTCTCCAAGATCTGCCTGTGTCTTGCACATTTCTGTGTGTGCACTTTATAGATGCTTTTCTGTAATATTCTGCTTCTTTTTTTTTTTTTAAAAATTATTGTTTTTGTGTGTGTACTGTTAGATTGGATCTGACTGGTACAGGAAGAGATTGTCCCTCCTTCTCCAGCAGAGCATCTGGTAGATTTGAACCACATGCTTCTAGGATTGCAGTGAAGCCACTAGGCCACCAGAGCTCCCAATATTCTTCTTTTTGAAAAAAAATTATTATAAGGAGCTCTGGTGGCCTAGTGGCAAGAAGCTGCACTGCAATCCCAGAGGTGCGCTGTTTGAATCCACCAGATGCTCTACTGGAGAAGGAGGGACAGTCTCCTCCTGTACCCGTCAGATCCGATTTGATGGTGTACACAAAAAAAATAATAAAATAAAAAAAAATAATTGAGCACTAATTCATATACCATAAAAGTCTGACCATTCTAGCACGTACAGTCCTGTGTGTTTTTAGCATATGCATAAAGTTACCATCTCCTGCCACTATCTAATTTAGGAACACTCTCGCCTGTAGTGTGGTTGCATCTGAGTAAACTCCCTCTTTCTTTTCTTTTTTTTTTTCAATCCCCTGAACCTCAGAAGATGCGGCTGATGGAGTTTCTGAGAAGCACCTTGGGCACAGCGGCTTTGGAAGGGACATCAGACCAGAGACTACTTAAAGCCTTGACCATAGCATCCTGAGGGTTGCGGGAGAGGAGACCATGGCTGTGAGCTTGGATGACGACGTGCCCTTGATCCTGACCTTGGATGAGGGTGGCAGCGCCCCCCTGGCTCCATCCAATGGCCTGGCCCAAGAGGAACTGCCTAGCAAAAGTAAGACAGTGGGGTGGGCTGGACTAAGAGATGATGTTGACTTTGTGGTCTGATGGGAGAGGTTGGCGCCTGGTACCCGATGCCCGTGTTGAACCCCCCTCAGTTCTGATAATGAAACGACTCCCAGGAGAGTCCCATCGTATGCATTGATCCCATTCATGATATTTTGAGGGGGTCTTCTTTGCTCTTCCTGGAGCCCCTTCCCCTTCAGCCACCTGCACCTCATGCCTTTGAGTTACCTGGGCTGCACCCTGGAGACCTGTGTGCGCCTGTAGTTTTGCCTGCTCCTCGGCCAGCATCCCAGCCCTAAGCTCTGTTAAAAAAAGAAACAGATTTCCACAGAGCCTCCGTCCGCCCCGATCGGAAGCTGTTGGCCGGGAAGTGGAGTTGACAGCGTCACTGCCCAGGGCTGCAGCGTGCAGGGAGGGAGCCACCATTGGGTGGCCGGTCATTGATCTGAGGGTTTGGCCTCGTGCTTTGTCTTCCTCTGAACCGCAGCCTCGGCCGCCGTGAGCCTGAGACAGGTCCTGAGCTTTAAATGTTTTCAATTTTAAGTGTGTTTTTGGCAGAACGGGAGGCCTTAAAAACCTTTCTGGTCTCCGTCCCGAAGCCATTTGCTTCATTTGGTCAAGCCTTGGGCTCCAGAGAGGCCTAAAATAACTCGCCTTTTTATGGAGTTTCTGAGACATCGGGGAGCAGTTTTAGGGTCTCCTCGGCAAGTGGATATTCCATCCACCAGTCCTACCAGACGGGACACGGGGCCTTTGCTCCCCTCCAGGCCACAGAGTGGATACAAGTCACCAGATGCCTGGCTTCGTGTCCCTCTGGTCTGGATACAGCAGAGTCGAGTCAGGGGACTCCCTCGGACGTGGAGAAGGAGAGCCGGCTCCCAGTGGGAACGAGTGCGCTGTGAGACCTTCTTTGTTCGATTGTGGGTGTTCGTTTCCTCTGGAGTGCCAGGCTGGGTGCTGGCTGATATTGCTCAGTGAGGGCTGAAAAAGAAACTAGGCTTTTCCCTGAATTCTGCCCAGAGCTGAGAAAGCCGTGACCGATTTACAGCAACACTTTCTAAATCCCAAGGATACCCGGTAGCATAGTGGTGAAGATGCTCGGCCGCTAATCGAAAGATCGGTGGCTCGAACCCACCGACAGGTCTGTGTTAGAAAGATGTCACACGTTTGCTCCCGTAAAGAGTACAAACGTGGAACTGGGCGATTCTCCTTCAGCCTAAGGGAATCCTGAGTCAAAATCGTCTTAATGGCAAGAGGTTTGGTTTTTCTGATTTTTTTCTTGGAGCTGTCACATTAACTAGTTAGACTTTTTCTTACCTGTTATCTCACGGGAGTTCACCTTGCAAGGTAGGCAGTCTTATCTCTACTTTACAGTGGAGGAAATTGTGGACCAGAGAGGTGAAGTAAAGTACCCACGATCACACAGTCAGCAGATTGTTAAGCCGTTGATCCTTCCCTTCTTTTTCTTCATTGTCCTCTTCCAAACAACTCAGATTCACTGCAGCGGTGTGGGCTCTGACCCATAGCTGACCCCCCATCGGGCTTCTGAGCCTATGAACTGTAATGGGAGGAGATTATTCATTGTTTTCCCCTTTGAAGCCCCTGCGGGGACTTCGAACTGCTGGGGAAGAGAGGCCTTTGGGTGTAACTTGCGACACACTGCGCCACCAGAGCTCCCTCCTTGTCTTCCTAGGTCTGTAATAAATGTGCATGTTGGCCTTGAACTGTGGTCAGCGGGAGGCCTGCTGCCATCTGGTTAAGTACTCAGCTGTGGGCACGCCTAGCAGCTCTGAGGGAGGAAGACCAGAAGGTCTGCTTTCATAAAGCTCACAGCCTAGCAGAGGAGCTCCAGTAGCCCAGTGGGTTAAGGAGCTGCACCACCAACCTGAAGGCAGGAGTTTGAACCAACCGGAAAGATGACCAGTCTCCTCCTGTGTGGTTTACAGCCGCTGAAAACCCACCAGAGGGAGGGTCAGCTCTGAGACGTTCCCACTCAGTGGCCAGCAGTTGAGTTGAGTGGCCAGTCTGGGGAACCCTCAGGGCCAGTTCTGTTCCGTCATGAGGAGGGACGCTGCTGGGAATCGGAACCACCTCCGTAGGATCTGACTCCACCACAAGATTTCTTCGTGTAACCTCAGAATAATGTCCCTGTAAATATTGGTGTCCATGTTTTACAGAGGAAGATGCTATCTCAGAGAGGGTAGGTAGTTGTCTGAGGTCACACAGCTAATAAACCCAACCTGTAGGGAGCTCTTATAGCCTACTGGCAAGAAGCTGCACTGCAGTCCCAGAGGTGCATGGTTCAAATCCACCAGATGCTCTACTGGAGAAGGAGGGGCAATCACCTCCTGTACAAGTCAGATCCAATTTGACAGTACACACATAATAAATAATAAAACAAACAAAAAAAACCCCCAGCCTGTCTAGAGAGTTCTGGTTCCTCTCAACCCCAAGGACAGAGGCTTTCCAAGGCTATAAATCTTTAAGGAAGCAGACTACCTCGTCTTTGTTCCGCAGAGGGACTGCTGTGTTCGAACTGCCGACCTTGCGTTTAACAGACCACACTTAACCCATCTTGTCACCAAGTCTCCTTAACTAGCCAGCAAAACCTGATTTTTTTCAACTCTCTTGTGTGAATGTGACACAGCCTTCCTTTCAGAGGAGACCAGCCCAGGAGATGGGCAGCTGGCTAGTCCCCGGACAGTGCAAGGCATAGCACAGGAGAAGGAGCAGTGGTGTGAAGCAGGTCTGGGGTGAGCCAGGCACAAGATTCTAACGTGGAGTCATTGTCATGGGTGCTTCTTTTTTAAGTCTCTCCAAAGTATCAGTGCTCAGGGTAGGACAATAAGCTCTCTTGCAGGTAAAAGTGGGCGGAGCAACCCAGTTCTGGGTCAAGGTCAAGGTTTTGAACTGACACTGGACCTGAATAAGTAGGAAATACCCTGACCTTTGACAGGCTTAGATAAAGCTGTTCTCACATGGATTTGGCAGCGATAGTGGCTTGCTTTGGCTTGTCTCTTTAAGTAAAATGTTACAGTGTCTGGGGAAATCATACTTCTTGCACTGTGCACCAGCGCCTCTGTTCCTGCTACTGGGCCATTTGCTAAAAGCTCTGAGAACATGTGAGTTTACTCCCCGAAGCCCGGCTGGGACAGATGACAGGGCCCCTCTGTAGAAAAGCAGCTCTCAGGCAGCCACCTTCCCCACCGCCCCTGCCGAACACCTGTCCATGTAAGAGATAAATCCAGTCTGGAACTTTCGCCGGGTCGACACTCCTCAGGGCCTTTCCATCCCCACCAGGGTACAGGCCAAGCAAGCCCTTTAGCTGACATGAAGCCAAACCCTGCAGGATGGAGCAGAATTGCTGCTTCGGGCTCCCAAGGCTGTCAATCTTCATGGAAGCAGGCCGCATGTCTGTCTTCTGCAGAGCAGTGGGTGGATTCGAACCTCCAGCCTTGTGGTACACAGCCCAGTGCTTTAACCGTGGTGCCCCCAGCTTCCTTTCCGCCGGTACACAAGGGCATAGATATTCTCGCACCTTCTTGCCTCACTTCTGTTGCCTATCTCTCAGCCTGTAGCGTCATCCCCATATAGTCAGTCTGGTGAATACCACAACGTCCTTCCCTTCTCTGCCCCACCAGTAACTCTGCCCAGAGCCCGGTCCCTTGTTTGCTGGGGAGCTCCGGAAAATCCCTGCTGTGAGACCCTCTCTCCTCTGAAGCGTCCCCACCACCCGCCTCTGCCCGACAGAGCTAATTACTCACAGCCCTTTCCCACTTCGGCGTCTTATTTCACCACCTCTTATTACGAGGACATGACTGGGTGGTAATTAGCTGTGTAATCATGTGAATCACTGGCCAGGCTCCGGGTTCCAGGAGCTTCCGAAAGGCCTTATCCATCTTGGTGTCGCCTGGCTCGAGGCCCGTGATGTGTCGGTACCGGACACGTGCTGGCCGAAACCAAGCTGGCTGGGTCTCTGAGGCCTGGAGCTCAGGGCGATGGCTGACCCAGAGCCCCCTGCTTGGCCCCCTTTTCTCTCAGCAGTGCTCATGGCCCTTGACGCTCCCGTTACCGTCACCATTAGTCCCTGTAAACCCTTGAGGTTGGAAGGAATTGGCCGAGGCCTTTAGCAGAGCTGGCAAAAGGCACAGGCTTGAGCCCCTGGGAACTGAACAAGCTTTTTGAGGGTGTGAGCGCCGATCGAACTTGGACCTCAGCCCAGGGCCCAGCAGCCACCGCCGAATCCTCCATCTGGTCCTCTCGCTGCGTCCTCCGCCCTTCCCTCATTGTCCAGGTTCCCCGGGACCTGACTGCAGCGCCCGTGACCTTGCCCTCATGCTCCAGACTGCCTGGGCCGCGCCTTGACCTTGCCAACACCCCATCCCTCCGCGTTGAGAAATTTCCTCCTCAGATGAGGCAGCGTGGATTTATTTTAGCTGAGACTCAAACATCTTGGGGCCACGAGAGTGGCTGTCGGACGTGCTAATGAATGACTCACCAGCAGGACGGTGTCAGGTTGATAAAAGGCAGGTAGGAGCAGAGGTATTTAAAGCTTGGAAAGGAGGAATAACCTTCAGAGTCATGGGTGGGGCTGGCTTTGACTGTGTGCACCAAACAGTGGGCTCAACCTCCACGTTCAGGGAATCAGAGTCATAGGCCACGTAGGGGGGACTCCTGGGCGATTTGGCCTTCTCATTGCCCAAGGAGGGCATCAGACAGGTCTCTCCTCCATACCTTCTCCAGGTGAGGAACTGGGACTCAGCAGGGGTTGAGGTTTGTGTGGGGCACTGACTGATCCTCTGGCCCCTTTGGCGCTGGTCACCCCTAGTTCCCGGATGGCAGGTGACAGAATGGAGAACGCCCCTTGGTGCCTCGCATGCCACTGGGAGCTCCCTTGGCCCTAGTGCTGTGTCTGACTGTGTGGAGGCCACTAACGTCTGTGCAGGGGAACCAACCCGTGGTGCCCTGGCTCCCTTTCCAGAGTCACAC